AGTGCTGTGCTGAGCTATTTCAAAGAAAAGTCACTGGTATAAGCTCAGGGACTCAGTGGCTCTCTTTACTAGATCATTGGATTGGTAGTCACACTCATTGTGTCTATTCATATGACTTCTAAATGGGTATACAACTCTTATAGGCATTTTCTTATTTTAAAAGAACTGATTATGGGGCTGGAGAGATGGCACAGTACTTAAGAGCACTGGTTGCTCTTGCAGAGGACCTGAGTTCGATTCCTAGAACCCACATGGTGGCTAACAACCATCTGTAACTCCAATTCAGAGGATCTGATGTCTTCTTATGACCTCTATGGGGACTGTATGACATGGGTATACTTACATATATGCAGGTAATACCTCATACACATAAGTTAAAAATAATAAATAAAATATTTAAAAGAACTGATTCTACCTGTTCTGTTATCAAAAAAAAAAAAAAAAACAAAACTATTAACGAACATTCTTTCTGATTTTAGTTGTTGCTCTTTTTTAAGTGGTTTCACACTGTAGTTCAGCCTAGAATGTGTAGTGCATTCTGGTCTTGAACTCATTGCAACCCAGTTACATCTTTACTGGGATTGCAGGTATGAGCTACTATGCCCATTGTGATATTTTCTATTTTCAAGCTAGATTTTTATTTTGTTTTGTTTTGTTTTGTTTTGATACAGGGTTTCCCACTAGCTCCATTGGTCTGGAACTTGCTATATAGACCAGGCTGGTTTTGATTGCACAGAGATCTGCCTGCCTCTGCCTCCCTAATAGCTGGATTTTAATACTATCTGGGTATTGCTGGTCTACATGTTATGGAGACCATTTAGCCCATCATCCTGCAGCTCTTTTGTCATCTCAACTCTCTACTGGCTTTGTCTTGCTTGCACAAACACAGCTCATGATATAATCCCACATTCTATCTCTTTTTGAAAAATAGCCTTCTTTCTTTCAATGTCTGAAGCACTTATAATCAAACCTGCTTTCTTTCAGCATTAACATTCAAAGCAAATTTGTGATTTAAAATTTCTGATTGTTATAATTTTAGGCATCATTATAACACTGTCTTCTACTGCTCTTCACTTCGGAGCTCTACCAATCATAAAATTTGACTATAATTTTTGTCAATTTAAGAAATTGAATCAAAGCATCAAACATCATTTATAGCATTGTTTTATGTGAGATGTGTTTTGAATCCCAAATATTTAAATTATAAATAAAACTTCTGAAAAGCAACCCAACTGTAGTTAGTGCCTGTTATTTTTCTAAAGGCAATCTTTAAAAACAGTGGAAAATAAGTCTTTCTTTTACTTTCCTCTCTCTCGTCTTCATTCCTTTGTTCCTTTTTATCAAGGACTTCTATAGATTTGGAAAACATTTTAAGCAATTCCTATCTTTTTTCAAGGCACATTTACTTTACAACACAAGTTAACCTGCAAACGTAAAATTCTGACCATTTTTTTCTCTTTAGACTGTTGCCTCAACGGATTCATCTTCTCAAAAGCAAGAATTAATTTTATGGGTCAAATAGTCTCTGTAGTTTTCCTGCTAGAACTAATGGTGCTGTTTGCTGTCTTCCAGTGCCTGAGGTAATAACAACATTCTGGTTCAGAGGTCAGTGCTGTCCCCCAACTCTCACGTAAATGTATGCTTACTTTAAAGTTTGGCATATTAAGTTGAAAAACAATGTCTAATTTGTTTGCATTACAAATAAAAAAGTGAGAAAATTCTACAAATAACATAGAAATAGCCACTTATGAAAAAATGGGGGAAAATGGGGACTGAAGGGATGGTCAGTGGTTAAGAGCACTGGATGCTCTTGCAGAGAACCTGGGGTCTATTCCCAGCACCACATGGTGGCTGACAACCATCTGTAACTCCAGTTCCAGTGCATCCAAAACCCTCTTCTGACCTCTGAGGGCATTGCAGGACACGGGTGCACTTACATACACACAGGCAATATTCTCATACATATAAAATAAAAATAACATATAATTTAAAAAATTAAAAAATTTAACCCCAAGTATTTACCTTTGCTCTGCCAATAGAGTATCCTGTGGACACACATAGGGCTTTTTCTCAGTGGGAACAACAGGAAAGGCTAGTTGGAATCCTTGAATAAATAATGCTCTTTAGATATATACTGTGTTAAAATATAAGATTATTTTAAAAGCTTAAGAAGCCCAAATATTTAAATGCAAAAATAATGATTGCACAAATTATGAACTGAAAGTTTTACCACTATGTAAAGATGACTGTGTAACAAGAATAGACCCTTTGAGACAGTGTACATGCCCTTGACATTATTAACAGCACATATTGAAGTTTTGATTTCAAATATTAACCTGCACAGTAAAAGGGAAGTAAAATAAACATTCTATGTTTTATATAATCCAAGAAAATATCTGTATGCAGGAAAAATTTAAATCCAAACTTTTCAGTGTTTTCATTTTTGATGTCAACAGTATATGAATGGTTTTACAATGATTTCCTATCAGCTATAGTGATTCCAAGCATAGTGGTATTAGTGTAGTGGTTTAATCGGATATGCATATTTTGAATGGTGACCCTAGGGCCAATTTCCAAAGACTTTGATTCAGGCCTGGCACAGAGCATAGGAACATACATTTTTATGGCCTGAATTCAAGCTACATGTTGAGATGTTTCTCAAAATGTCTGAGACTAGAAGATGGAAAAAGAAATCAAAGTAGGACAGAACAAAACAGAAATATTTTAAGTGCTGTGTGGTAGGAATCACACAAGCAGGATATCAGGCACATGTCTTTTATTATCAAATGGTTGAAGTATCCATTGTATATTAGTACTGTTGTAATTCTTTCATGACAATTAAAACACCATTAACCACTTTATTTTAATAATCCACATGAAGACATTATGATATTTTGGAGAAAAATGTGTTTTGAATATTACAGCTGGGATACCACACTGTTGCATCTTACTTTGAGAGAGATAAGGAAAACTTCTAATGTTGAAATAATTCTTTCCCAAAGATGAAAACATTGATGTAATATGAGGCTACTGACATTTTAAGTAGAGGACTACATATTTCTTTTGTTTTTATACAATTTCTATATGTTTAATTTTTATGATTTAAGGTTTTTTTATTGTTTGAGACACTCAATCTGTGGTCCAAGCTAACCTTGAACTCATGGTCATCCTACTGCCTCAGCATCAAGAGTGATAGAATTACAGACATGAACCATCATGTCTGTTTTGTATATCTTTCCAGTATAGATGTTAATAGATGTCAAGTCTTGAAGGTGAGATTTCACATGCCACCGTTATCTCTCTTATACACTTGTCAGAGGCAATGTTTTAGAAATTAAAAACTTCAGAAACATGGGACTGAGAAAGGGGTAGAAATGATGTCAATACAGTACTCATGTATGAAATTCTCAAAACATATAAAAATTTAAAATCAGTTAAAAGATTTTAAGAGCCAGAGGTGGTAGACAACTAGCAGGAAACACTGTTTTCCAAATAGCAGGGCAGTTATCATGTGAATGCACAGCAGTTGTGACAGCATGCACAAGACCTGCATAAGCTCAAGACAGACAAATTCCCAGCATAGAGGGGTTGGGGAGGTGGGTAAGAAGCCCTAGCTTAGCTGAGGAACTATTGGCAACTGATAGGTGCAGGGATAGGAGTGTCTGTTTTCTTTAAGGATGTGGCACTGGATAGAATGACCAGGCCCTGGGGGATAGCCCCACACTGAAGAGCACGTGGGGATACAAATTAGACTTGATAGACCATAAAAAAATAATATTACAGGATACAAAATCAAGCGGAGGAGTTGTAAGGGGAGAGAAGATAAGGGAGACGATCTGAAGATGATCAAAGTATTTAAAGTTCTCAAAAATTTAATAAAAATGTTTTTTAAAAATTTGTGAGAAAATCTAATTACTCCTGACTTACAGCATAGAATTGTGTTTATGCTAGTAAAAGTGCATTAGAAATGTCTTAGACCAAAGGAGCAGTTTGATTGGTTAATGAAGAGTCTAAGGGTGATAATTGAATTTGATGGCATTCATTAGTTAAGACATTCAAGCAGATACTTTACAGCCCCAATTATGCACTCTGACACATGTAATAGTCACAATGTGATATATGCACTTCACTGTTGGATTAGGCATATATGAAAGAGTGAGAAACACCATGGCTCCCCAAAACATCACTCTGAAACAAATTCTGCTCTCCTCTCCTGCCCCCCACCCAGTACCCTTGCTAAAATATTATCTGTGCAGCAGGCCCCAAAAGCACAGAGGCAGATGCCATGGCATATTCTTTTCAAATGCAAGGCTGCTCGAGATCATCTGCAGATAATGAACCATGACAACTTCAGATTTGACGAAATAGGAAATAACAGGGGGAAAATAAAAAAAATGCTGTACAAGTGGCCAGAGTGACCAGCAGCCCAGCAACTAAGCCGGTCATGCACACACATTACAAATAGTCATAATTTCAGAATATATGGCAAATACAAATGTTCCTTTAATAAAAATTTTAAAGAGATGTAATTGATGATCTGTGCTAGTCTTCATTGTCAACTTGATTGGATTTGGGATCAGCTCAGAGGTGGTGCTACACAACTCTGGGTCCATGGGGATGAACTGAGCAGATGAAGCCGCACCACAGCTATGGACAGTTCCATCATTCCATGGGTTGGGGGCCAGGATCAAATAAAATGGGAAATGGGAAAGCTGATTGAGCACCAGCAGCCCCCTTTCTCCGCTTCCTTGCCATGTGTTGTGATGTGAACTATTCTGCTCTGCCCTCCTTACCATGATAGATCAAATCCTCAGAATCCATTGGAAAAAAACCCAAACATTTCCCTCCCATGAATGGCTTTTGCAAGACATTGTGTCACAGTAAGGAGAAAAACGTTCAATTGTTTCCACAAATACTCCTGACCGCAACATCATAATATGGATGAGAAGGAGGTTGATTATCAGCAAAATCTCTTAAGAATGTCTAGTTTTTCTAAATACCTCAATCAGACTGCTCCAGTGAAACTTTCAGAGATGAAGCCAGAGGTGAGTGCAGTCTTCCAGTCCGAATGTAGGCGTTGGCTCTTCAAGCTCACACTGGCTTTTGGTTTCCTTGAGAGAGAAAGCATAGAAAGATTCTATGAAAATGCTGGCTTGCAATTCTGTGCATGTTTTACTGTTGACTGGATACAGACTTCTGCTTATGCAGACCGTTCATTAGTCACACCCTGCTCCAGCGTCCTCAATGCCTAGTTGTGCTGGGTTCTTCAGGCAAAGAACCAATAGGTATGAATCATGCTGACATTAAAAAGAAAAAAAAAAAAACCTAGAAGCATAAATGTCTGAAAAGAGCAACTTTTTTCACATTCCTTCTGAGATCTCCTGTTCAATGGCATTGGTCTATGGAGAAACAGCATGCACTGCCACTGAAGGCCCCCAATGGAATTATAGCAAAGGGAATTATCTCCAAGCAGTTCACACTTTGTTTTGCTAACAAGACTCCATGTTAGGATACTGGAGAGCTATCCTTCTCTGGCAATGTTCTCCCATCTTTTTAGAATTATTGAATAGCTTACCAAGTCTATTTTGATTTGTGAATGTCTTTGTGAGCAATAGCAGCAGCTGCAGCAGTGCTAATAAAAAGGAAAGACACTGCTATTTACCTTAGGAAGGATAGTGAAACACTGCACATACAAAAGCATCTGAGTTGTAATGATGCTGCCTTGAATATTCTAGCAGTTCTCTTCCTTGTTTTCTTCCTGGAACCACTATTCTCATTTCTCCTTTCACACCTTTTCTTTAATCTTTTCTTTTCCATCCTTCCTGTCTATTCTCTCTAATGCTATCCCTGACACAGTAATCTATTCTTTGATACAAAGGTAAAAATAATTTTGCCTTCTGTTTCTCTGTAGAACATCATATGGACACTGTAAATATAGGTAGCTTATCATATGTCAATTAAAATAAATAAGTTAATTTTTTGAAATGAAGTGCTGATACCAACCAGACAATTCTACCCTCTTTTCAGTTTGATTTTAAATTCTTTGGAGGGAGCTTACATGGTAACACCCTGTTATTTGAGGATTCAAATTTTCCTACTACAAGATAAACGAATACCTAATTCCCTGCAGCTTTAATTATATTCTGAATAGAATTTTATAATTCTTCTGCAGTTATTAAGCAGTCCTATTTGCCAACTAATGGACCAAGATCATTCGGGCATAAATCTGTACAAAATGTGATAGTTTGTTGGGTTGAGGTAAACCACAGTCCTTGGTTTAAGAACTGATGGTACAGGAGCATTTTATTTGCTGAGTTGCTTTCCAGCTACATTTTCTGGGCTGAAACAGATAATACTTAGTTGATTTCAGCTCAAGTTACCACTATGTACTTGTCTGAAATCTTTAATTTATTCAGAAAAAAATGTGTACTTTGGTCCTGGCATTTTGGGGGGTGGGAAGTTCTTAGAACTATAAAGAAGAAAAGATGGGTGCTTCCCTCTGAAAATATCTGACACATATGGAAATAGAAATGCTACTATAAATTATTAAGTGTCACAATGGGAATTTAGGATATGCTAAGGCACAGATGGAGTATTTTTCCATCCTTAGGAATGGATAAACAGATGAATCCAACCATTCATTGTAAATGAAGTAGAAAACATCATCACTAACACTGTGCTGGGACACACAGGTATGTACATGTTCATGAGTCTGTGTGTGTGTGTGTGTGTGTGTGTGTGTGTGTGTGTGTGTGTGTCACTGGGCATGAAGTAATCAAACAATAATTTTTGAGCTATTTCCACCTGGGATTATTAATAGTTTACACAATTGTAGAACTTCACAACTGTGTCCTTTTCCCACAGTGAACTAGAATACAAAGTAGCTTCTCCCATCAGAGAACATTTATGACCTTTTCCCCATGACTTCATGTCTCAAAAAATATTTGCTCCCTCAGAGAAGAGGGCTGCCAGTATCAGTCTCCACAACAGAGAAAATATATGAGTAAGCAAAGCACAGGCATTCTGGAAGCCAAACAGCAGAGATTAAAAGCCATCTGTCATTGGGACTGTGGGCCTTCTCACAAGCCATGGACTTCCAGCAGAGTTTGTGGCAGAGACAGTGTGTAGCACAGACTTTAAATACACAGATTAGCCTAGAATCTTTTACACAGTCATATGGTTAGGCCAGAACCTGCTTGGCCATGCGCTGCATAGAACTGCATGCTATCAAATGAGCACTTGTTTTCCTTCTTTGTCTTTTTGAGACAGGGTCTCCCTGTAATCCCAGCTGACCTGGACTCACTACATGTACCAGGCTGGTCTCAGTCTCACAGACACATGCCTGCCTCTGCCTCCAGAGTACTGGGATTAGAGGCATGTGCCACCACACCAGCTCTGAAGACATTTTTAATAGAAACTGATTCTGCAATTCTGTCCGAAACAATTTTCTGAAGGCCAAGTCTATGCCAGGAAGGGTTCAAGGTTCTAAAGAAAATACCACCTCCATTCCAATTCCAACACAGGGTAATTGACAGACTGTCCTCATAGTGGGACATCTATTAATTTATCAATATTTTTCAACTAATGAATTGTACTATAAATTTTATTGGACTAAATATGAATCATTTAAATATTCCAAACAACTTAACCAAAAGGAATATGCTTAAGGTAAATTTTCTCTCCAAGGAAAACTGCCAAAATTATTTCCTCATGATGCCCCTAATTTTGACACTTGTTCATTTTCCCCCTTAATGTATTTCTAAAATTTTTACTTTCTTTTAGCATGGACAGTAGCAGACATCCTTGTGGCAGCCTCATGCTCACTGCATTTTGGTTGATCCTCCCCTCAACTCCTCTCTCTCCTACATCTTCCTGCCCCTCATTCTGTCCTAATCCCTTCGACTCCTAGTGTCACCCATTCACTCCCTATCATTTGGGTTCAATTATCCTCCCAACCATTCTCCCTTAAAGGCCATTTTCCACTCCACGGGCCCTTTTCTTGTTTCCTGGCATCTATTCTTACTCATTCCCAGGTAAACATGTATGTGTAAAGATTAGAAGCTAAGAAATGATTATAGGAGAGATCATACAGTGTTGGCCTTTCTGTTTTTTAAAAAAATATTTAATTTATTATTTTTATGTGTATGTGTGCATTGCCTGCATGTAGGTAAGTGCACCTGTGTCATGCAATGCCCCGGGAAGACAGAAGAGGCTGTCAGATTTCCTGGAACTAGAGTAACAGACGGTTGTTAGCTTCCATGTAGGTGCTGGTATTCGAACCCGGGTCTTCTGCAAGAACAGCCAGTGTTCTTAACCACCGAGCCATCTCTCCAGCCCCCAGTGTTGGCTTTTCTAAGCTTGGGTTTCCTAACAATATAGTTTTTAATTCCACCAATTTTCCTGAAAATTATATAATATCATTTTTCTTTATGGCTGAATAAAATTCCATTATGTATGTATACCACATTTTCATTATTCATTCACCAGTAGTCGGGCATCTAGGTTGATTCCATTTCCTAGCTATTGTGAAAAGAGCAGCAATGAACATGGATGAGCAAGTATCTCTTTAGTAGGACATAGAGTCCTCTGATTATTGCCCAACAGTGGAATAACTAGGTAAGATGATGATAATTCTATTGGTCTAAAGGGGGGATATCTCTATACTGATTTCCATAATGTTTGTACCTGTTTACCATCCTACCAATGGCAAATTAGGGTTTTCTTCTCCTACATCCACACTTGTATTTGCTGTCATTTGTTTTCTTGGTGATAGACATTTTGACAGGGATAGGATAGAATTTCAAAGTAATTTTAATTTGCATTAAGCTACTAGTTAAAGGAGAATATTTTTCAAAATATTTATTGACTATTTGTATTTCTTTGGAGAAGCTCATTTTTAATTGGGTTGCTTGCTTTCTTGCTGTTTAGGTTTTCAAAACTCTTAATATACTGTAGATATTAATCTAGGTATATAGCCTGTAAAGATTTTTTTTCTCCTGTTCTATAGGCTGTCTCTGCACTTGGTGAACTGTTTCCCTTGCTGTACAGAAGCCTTTGAATTTCATGAGCTCTCATTTGTCAATAGTTGGCCTTATAGTGTAATTTTTGAAAGGCTAATTTGAATAGTACTTTATTATGGAAAATTAACTTTATAGTAGTCAATGTAGGGCAAAGCATTCACTGAACCTTCAAAACACAAATAGAAATGATTAGTTTAGGATGCATGACCTCAGGTTTTTGACCTCGTGGATAAGCATATCACAGACAATAGACCAGCAAATTATCCAAGACATGAATATTTAAGAACAATTACACTTGAAGAACAAAACCATCAAGCAAGCAAGTAAACAAAAGAAGAACCAACCAACCAAACAAACAAACAAACAAAAAATCTTTAGGAATTATCTATTTCTTGGTGCTATTACTTGCTTATGAGGATTATAACTTAATGTCTATAAATTCCTAACATATCGTGTAAAATTATTTGTGTTTATGAATTTATTTATTTTCATTAGATTCTCAATAGGGCTCTATAATTCCTCTTCTTGAAAAAAATGATCATAAATGGAAACTTGACTGCCAGTGAATACAGCTAGTTGGTGGCATAACTGAAATATTATTCATATCTTCTGGTTCTCAATCTAGTGAGAGCTACTTTTTATTTTTAATTTTATTTATTATTTTTGTTTTATGTGTATGTGTGTATTGCCTGCATGTAAGTAAGTGCACCTGTGTCATGCAATGCCCGTGGAGGTCAGAAGAGGCTGTCGGATCCCCTGGGACTGGAGTTATGGTCAGTTGTTAGCTGCCATGTGGGTGCTGGGATACGAACCTGGGTCTTCTGCATGAACAACCAGTGTTCTTAACCACTGAGCCATTTCTCCAGCCCCGAGAGCTACTTTTTAAATGTATCAGTTTATTTAATGTGTATGAGTGTAATCTCTGCATGTAGGTAGGTGCACCCATGTCATGCAATTGCTGTGGAGGTCAGAAGAGGATGTCAGATCAGTGAGTGGAGTGGGGAAGGGAAAGAGCCATCATTTATAGGAGAGAAGAGAGTGCAGGGAAACAAAATCCAAGAATTGGCAGTATCTTGACATGGTCATAGATT